AGCTTCCTAGGCAGGGAGCCAGCATTTGTACCAGTTCCCCTGCTTTCTAATTGGGTAACCTTCATAAATCACTTCACCTCTCTGAGCCTCAGTTTTCCCAACTCCAAAATGGTAATAATAACTGTACCCGCCTCAAAGAACTATTTTGAAGACCAAATGAGGAAAAAAAAAAAACTGTGTAAAGTGATTGTCAGTGCTTGGCTTATAGTGGTATTTCCCCCTCCCCCTATCCATCAGCCATCTTAAGCTGATGAACTCCTACCCATCCTTCAAAGCCCAGCTCAAATGTTCCCTCCTTTACAAAGCCCTCTAAGACACCAAGACAACATTATCTGGCTCTTCCTCTGTGGTTCCACTACACATTGTACCTACTTGTATTACTGCCAGGGATGACATTAAAAATATTTAACAACTGGCTTAGTGTGTATACTGCCCCATCAGAAGGGCAGCTGACCTTGGCACTGAAGAGTTGTTAGGTATCACCCTTTATTTGCTGGACTGTGAAAAGGTCCAGGAGGTCCCAGGGGAGGGACAGATGGCTGGGAAGTAGGTACGATAGTGCTTATTTACCAACTTGTATGCAAGTATTTGAATATTTTAACAACTGTACAAGGCACTGGTGCTTATTGACTCGATCCCAGCCCTAATTTCAAGGCTTATCACACTGCAGTGCAACATGCTGTTGACTACTAGACTGTGAGCTCCTGGAGGTCAGGAGGAGTGTTTTCTTCATCTCTCTGTCCCCACAGGGGAGCTGGAGGGGTGGGAGGTAGGAGATGAGGGACATGAATGGGGCTGTGAAGGGTCCCTAAACTGTCTCCTTGGGACCCTCCATTTGGATTTGGGCTCTGACAGAGCCAAGGGGGCCTCCAGTTACTCTTAGCTCACCAACTAGGATTTCAGTAAGAAACAACCCTGAGTTTGCATATTCATATATGCAAATATAGTCCCTTAATGTAATGCACCCATCCTTGATTTTTTTTTAGAGAGTTATGCATATGAAATGCCTGCAGTCAAGTGTGGGAGGGGCTCAGTAGAGAAGACTCTTCATGCTCCTGCTCCTGGTCACCTCCAGAGCCCCGTCTCTCACCCAGCCAGACTGTGCAGTCTGAAAGTCCTATGCTCTTTGTCACCTCCAAGTCTTTACACATGCTAGTCCTTTCCCGGAATGTTATCTCCATCCCCGACACCAATCTTCATTTCTCCCTCTCAATGGCTGACTCCTGCTCACCCTTAATTTCTCAGTTGTCACCTTCTCTGTCCTAACCCTAATCCCATCCTGTACCTGGTTACCTTCCACCTATCTCAACATCTCAAAATCAATTGCTGTTTATTATTTTACTCCCCCATTGGAAGGCAAGGGCTTTTTCTTATTCACTGGTCCCTGAGAGCCAAGTCAGAACCTGTTATAGATGCTCAATCGATATTGGTAGACTTGAATGAATGATTGAGTGAGTGATTCAGTGAACATGACTGCTATTATTTCTAACAGAGATTTTTCAAAAAATCTCGGGGTCCCACAAGTGACTCAGAGCCAGGACTCTTGGAAAAATCTTTGGCTTCTCCTCTAACCTGGCACCTTCTTTCATCTCTGCCTTTGCAGGAGAGAAGATGAAAAAGGGCCTAGCCAGAAGGGGACAGGAAAGCTGGTGATAGGGAACCCAAGGTTGAGTAAGGACAGTGTTGACTTGTAGTGGGGTTGTTAACCACTGTCATAGGTCAACATGTGTACTAACTAACTGTTTAATGAGAAACTATTT